CTAAGGGGCAGAAGCATCAACAGTTTGTATCATTTAACCCATGAAATTTAGAAGGCTGGCATCCAAATCCTGTGACATGAGGTCCAAGTGTTTTTTTTTCCTGTAATTCAAATAAATACCACTCTTCTTTGGTTAAATATTTTACCAGAGACTGGGCAATTGGAAAAGGAAATATTTTCTGGAAGTTCCCACCTTTTTGATACTACATACCTCTGCTTTTGTGATGCAAATAAGAAATGAGTGAGGCAATTACACCTATTGAAAGCAGGATTATTATGATGCCCACTACTATAGGGTTTTTCATTTTGCGGAGGCAATCTAAAGAAAAACAGATATAATAATCATTGGTTATTGCTGTGGAGGTACTTTGGATTAGGGGAAAATGCACCAAGAAAGCAAGAGCTATATTTTAATGCCATCCCTCTGTATTAATTTAGAATAGGACTAGGGGAAAACAGAAGAATAGGACTAAGATGCAGTCTAAAGGATCTAAAGGACCTAAAGGTTCTAAAGGCTTAGGTCTAAAGGTGTTGATGACCAGGACAAGAAGCATAGCTGTTTCCAGGATGGGACAGGTTTTTGGCTGAGACTACCTAGACTTGGAGAAAAGCAACTCATTTTTCTTTTTCTCAGTCTGGCTCATCAGTCAGTGTGCATGAGACAAGAGTTGCGCACTGGTCATTATCATTTTACCCAGATTTGAATGAGGTCAGCAGGAGAGCTCTGGAGACCTCTGTGTAAGAATCCCATGCAGCAAAGGGTGGTCAGACAACATATTGTTTAAAATCAGATTTTATATCTATATATCTACAACTATATCATTATACTGTTATGGGCTATCTAGTCTTTCCATGAAAATCTTCCATGGTGCGGGAGCTCACTACCACGGGTGGTGCCCATTCTTTTGCTGGAGAGTTATAGGTACAGTTTTACTTAGTGATTAAATTATCACATACAAAGATTCATGAGCATTATGGTGGCATAAGAAGTCCTTTGTTTTTGTCTCCTCCATCAACAACAAAATTTGGCACCCATCTACAACAGGAAGTGGGAGTTGTGGAACACAGGGCCATACACCAAGGCACCTAGAAGGAATCTTGCCTACCTGTGCATCCATTAGGCAGGCAGTCTTTGGTACAGACTCTGGAACATACAGAAGACTGTGCCCTGGATCCATTCTGCTGTTCTGAAACACATGTAAAACATGGACTTAAGTGGTTAGCTACCTAAGAGAGAAACCTGTGGAAGTCCAGGTTTCCAGAGGAGAAGTTCCAGCACTCTATTGGAGCAAAAAAAAAAAAAAAAAAAAAAAAAAGTGGATGCGTAAGAAGACCAGCTCAACGCTTCTCCAAGTAGGTACACCTTAGGGCTAAAAGAGATGGCTGTGATTTCTCCCTTGGGTGATGGGAGAGCCAAAGGGTAAATGCCTGGCTTTCCCAGCTGTACAGGAGGCTTCCAAAGAGACTCATTTATCTCTCAGAGTATCTACTATATTCAATGGGAAGCTCCATGGGGGGGGGGGGGGGGGGCGGTTTTTTGGGGGGGGGGGGGGGGATGGAGGAAGGAGCAGATCAGGAGACTGCATATAAGATTTAAGGAGGGTATTAATGGGATATGGTTCTTGCTGGATGCATTCTGGATTTCCATCAAGAAGCCTGCCTATGACCTATGGGGAAAGCTTAACCCAAGGATCTTCCAAACTGGCCTGCCGGCATGCCCAGCACACCACATGCCAAATCCACACCTCCCTCCACTTTGTGGCTGGCTCCCTGTTCCTGCTCTGGAGGGGAGCAGTGAGAGCAAGCACTGGTAGATATTGAACATGAGCAGAAAGTGGGCCAGGGTGTGTGAAATAGTGAGAACTGTATAGCCACCGTCAGGGAAATAAGAGAGACAGAGTAGCCAGCATTGTGTGCTGTGAAATCAAGAGAAGATATACAAGCTAAAGAGTCCTGCCATAAAATGGTGTAAGTGTGGAGCAGGTGTATCCATACAAAGACTGAGAGAGCCTCCGAATCTACAGCAGTTGCAGTCATGCACCTGATAAGGGGTTAATATCCAAACTATACAAGGAATTCAAACAACTCAATAGAAAAGAATCCATTTTAAAAATGGGCAGAGGATCTGAATAAATGCTTTTTTTCAAAGAAGACATACAGACAACCAACACGTGCATGAAAAGATGCTCAACATCACTGATCAACAGAGAAATTCAAATCAAAATCACAAGAAGTTATCGCCTCATACCTGTTAGAATGGCTATTATTAAACAACAAGCAATAACAAATGCGGACAAAAAAGGGCCACATACTAACCTGATGAGCTCATGGGAGGCCTGCATGATGGCCTTGCAAACTCAGAGAACTAAAGTATGGTCTGAAATTAAAACTATTTAAGCTAAAGAGCAGTTTATGGTGGGTAGTCATGTCATAGGCCAGTATCTTCCCTGACAAAGGCCAATCTTAACCTTAACTGGGCCTGTCTATTTTCTTTTTGCATCTACGATAACATACCTTTGGAAAGTCAAAGTAATTTTCCTTTTTTGGGACTCCTCAAAGCACAGGCACTGCTCTGTGGACACCACAAATCCCCTCACTGTTATTGAGTTAATTATTGACTGTTAACTATCCTGTACCCACCTATGTAGAAGAAGTATGTGTCTCTCATTTACTTTTTATCCACTCCCAGAGGTTTCCCTGCTTTGCTTCTTCCTTCCTCCCTAATCTATCATCAATGGATTTCACGTAACCCAAACCCACTTGCGTCTCCTTTTTTTATTGTAATGTATAAAACAGTATGTAAAGTTGCCATTCTCTGGAGCATTATCTCAATCCATT